ATTATAATTAACCAGCTACGCGCTTAATATGTTCAATTTACAGAATCGGTGAATTTTTGGGGAGTGTAGAAAAAAAAATTTTCTTTGTATTACCTTACAGCAAAAACGACGAAAACTGTATCAATAGAAATAATCGATTAGTGTAAATACATCCACACTCAGGACTAATTGAATAGAGCAGAGTGAAGGACCTAGCGCATAGTTCTCCAAAGGGACTGAAGATGTGATTCTAAGATCATGCGTTACGGTTGAAAGAAAATTTTTTTACGTTTAACTTCCTATAAGACCAACGGTTAAAATCTGTCAATTTTTAGGCCTAACGACAAAATTTTTGCCGTCCTACGGCTAACGGTTGACCTCAGCTGCCATCATACAATTAAAAATTAGTTTACTTCTAAGTCAGATTCCGCTAAAGTTAAGAAACGACCTGACTACGTGAACAATATTATTTAATCCGTCTCAGAATTATTTCCCGTGACTATTGTCGGATAACATTTGACCGTAAATAGCTGGTTGGATCACACGGATATCAGCCGTTAAAAAGTAATTAGTTAAGTTCTGTCTTTGGAGGGTATTGCAGAGATGCACACCCTCCAGCCGGGGAACAACTCAGCTTTTTTCCTAAGCATTGAGCTGCGTTATTCTTAATTTGATGCTTACATCAATTTAAGTCAATAGAACCTGCTATGATAAAATAAAGAAAATGAAACTAAATTTATTGTTGAATATTTGCTGTTATCAAAGATACATACATATCTAATGTGTTGTGTCACGCGGTGCGTTACCAGTGCTAATCTGGCATGCTGAGAATATTTTTGGGTGTGTGGTGTCATGTGCTAATGGTGTATACACCTTGTTTCTTAACCTCACTAAAGAACGAGACTAATAATTAATGAAACACTGTCAAAATAAAAGTTACTAAGCTTCATTAGTATAGGTAAAAAATAAATTACCTTTTTCCTTCTCCCTCACCTCTAAAATAAAAACAAAATGATAAATTATGATAGGATTTGCAAAGTCATTTCAATCCCTTAATGAAATTATATAGAGAACCTACAGATCTGGTGGCTGAGGAGTGCATCGTTTTTTCAAAGCATTGACCCCCGCGAAGTGTTGTTATGATGAAACACTACTTTACCAAGAAAACAAAAGTATTCTCCTAGCTCCAAGTGTGTACTCTACACATAAATAAAGTTAACAGAAACAAATACAGGGCTATTTATCGCAGAAATGTCTGATTAAGCAGCTGCTTATCTTCACTGCAGCAACAAAACTAAAACATTTTACGGTAAATGGAAATCACACAGCGAAACAGTGATTTATGTATATGTTGTGGTTCAATTTTATCCTTGGTTCAAATTTTATTTCCCTTTGTTTAAAACTCACCATCATACATTACATTACCCAAAAACAAAAGAATATAAAATTTGAACCCAGGATAAAATTGAACCACAACATATTAAGTGGACTATTGGATTGAAGCCTTCAGTAACTGTATTTCTTATTCCAAGCTTTCGCCGATCTACGGTATCGTCAGGAAATGTAAGAAAAATAAAAAAATTCTTTACATTCCTGAACGATGCCGAAGATCTGTGGACGATTAGATTGAAGCCTTCAGTAACTGTGTTTCTTATTCCAAGCTTTCGCTGATCTACGGTTTCGTCAGGAAATGTAAGAAAAATAAAAAAAAATTCTTTACATTCCTGAACGATACCGAAGATCTGCAAAAGCGTGGAATTAAAAAGAGAGATACGATAGCTCAAGGCCAATTATATATTTACACTGAGATGCTTAAATCAGTTTAACACAATAGAATGTGCTCCAGGAAAATGAGTTTAAAAAATATGGAGTTCATAATCTGATAATAGAACTGATAGTTCATAACATAATTTACTTTCATCAAACTTACATAAATATCCAATGTGTAGTGCAAAGAGCGAATATCGAGACTGTTAAAACAAAATTTACCAAGATTCATTATCATAGTTAACTAATAAATTACCTTGTATCTTCTCGATGAACTCTGAAATGAAAACAAAATGACGAATTATGATAAGGTTTGCAAAGTCATCTCAATCCCTTACTGATGTGACATAAAGAATCCACACATCTGGTAGCTGTAGAATGCATCATCTTTTTATAGGTATTAGCCCCACCCCTGAGATGTTGTCATAATAGAACACTAATTTACCTTTAAAAATATTCTCCAAAAGCTAAGTGCGTATTATTTACGTGAATAAAAGTTAACAGTGTATCGCCAGAGGATTTTGGGTTCTTCAAACTCCCACGGAAGAATGCACGGCACTCGATATCTGGATGATATGCACACGATTTGGGTTATATGTTTGTGGTTACGTCGAGTAGTCCTCAGAAAAGTTGGTCAATTTCTTCTTAAAAGATAACAGCCAGAAACAATATTTCTCCCGGTGATATTGCTCATAAGAGACCCTTCTTTTAAAGCCATGTACTTTCCATGTG